TGTCAGGCCTGAGTAAGGCCCAGTTCCTGAGAATCAATGGCTTCCCCAATGAGTACTGGGGCTGGGGTGGCGAGGATGACGACATCTTTAACCGGTGAGTGGAGTGTTGGAAGAAGGCTGGGTGGGTGAGGGGTGAAGTGCAGATGCGTGGGGCACCTTGCCCTTCCTTGTGCCTGCTCCAGTCCATCTGTCCCCATCCTCAGGATCTCCCTGACTGGGATGAAGATCTCACGCCCAGACATCCGAATAGGCCGCTACCGCATGATCAAGCACGACCGGGACAAGCATAACGAGCCCAACCCTCAGAGGTGACCCCCCAACACCCTGATCCCAGGTGTTCCTCCTCCCTCACTCCCTAGAAGTGACTTCTTAGTACACCCAAGTCTTGACTGCAAGTGTCCTCAATCCCTGACCCTCTAAAAGTGGCCTTGAAGCATCCTTGACCCTTGAGAGGTGACTGCAGAGGCTGCAGGTCCATGACTCCTGACTGCAGCACTCCCTGTCCTCCACGCCCAGATATCTCTAACACCTGGCCTAATTCCTAGAGGTGACCAGAATTCAGAGTCAGGGCTCAGATTGTCATTGAGTAAATTACATTCCCAGCTGGGTGTGGTGGCGCACACCTATAATCCTAGCACTCAGGAGGCTGAGGCAGGAGGATTGCCAGAGTTTGAGGCCATCCTGAACTACACAGCAAGACTGTTTTAAAAAAACAAACAAAAAAGCCGGGCGTGGTGGCACACACCTGTAATCCCAGCACTTGGGAGGCTGAGGCAAGAGGATCGCTGTGAGGGTTCGAGGCCTGCCTGGGCTACAAAGTGAGCTCAAGGCCAGCCTGAACTGCATAGCGAGACCCTGTCTCAAAAAGACAAAAACAAAACAAAACAAACAAACAAAGGGCTGAAGAGATAGCTCAGTAGATAAAGCCCTTGCCTAGCATGTACAAGGCTCTAGGTTCAATCTCCAGTACCAACAAAAGCAAACAAAAAAACCCTGAAAAACAAAAAAAGTATACATTCCCACCAGTGCCCTTGAAGACCTCGCTTGTGCCCCTTGTGTGACCATGGCTTCTCCTGGCCTTGCCAGAGAAGATGGAATGAAAGATGTTTGCTGGGCAAGGCAAGGTAGAGAGCCAGTACCAACCCCCCGGGAGACCAGAAGAGGCAACTCCATCTCTTAGGGGATGGCACATTTGCTGTCTGGGTCGGGTGGGAGAAGGGCATGCGGAATACAGATGTGGACTTCTAGTGCTAAACCTTCTGGGCATGGGAGGCTCAGGGCAGCCACAGGCAGGCCCCACCCTCCATCCCTCATGATGCTCATTCTAGGCAAGGAGATAGGCAGTCAGAGCACCAGGTGAGGAGAGCAAAGTGCTGTCTTGGCAGAAGAGGGAGTGACAGTGGGAGCCTTCCTGGAGGAGGTGAGGGCGGACTGGAGTTTGGAAAGAGTCATTTATTCCACAGATACTTGTCTCACTCCCACCTTGGGCATAGTGCTATATTCACCAAGGCTAAAGGGGGAGGCCACTGTAGATGGAGGAAATGTATTTGTAAGAGTCTCGAATGTGAGTATGTGTGGCAGCTTTTTTTTTTTTGTAGTAGTGGGCATTGAACTGAGGGCCTTTATGCTGAGCTACATCCTAGATCTTTTCTTTTGAGACAGTCTTATTTGCTCTGGTTGGGCCTAAACTTATGATCCTTCTGCCTCACCCTCCCAGTGCTGGGATTATAGGCATGTGCCACCACGCTCAGCTTTTTTTTTCTTTGAGACAGGGTCTCATGTAGTCCAAGCTGGCCTCAAGTGCTGGGTTATAGGTGTGTACCACCGTGCTCAGTGTAAACTTTTGGTTTTAAGACAGTAGACAGCTGGGAGTGGCAGTAGGAAGCAGTTAGTGCTGGGGGTTTAGGGTCTTCAGCACAAGACTGAGAGTTTAACCTTTACCAGGGGTCTGGGAATCACAGAGCGGCTTTGAGTAGTGAATGGCAGGATCAGGTTTGTGTTTGGAAGGCTCACTCTTTTTTGTTTTTGTTTTTATTTGCCTTTTTGAGACAGGGTCTCCCTATGCAGTTCAGGCTGGCTTTGAGCTCACTTTGTAGTTTAGGCTGGTCTCAAACTCATAACGATCCTCCTGCCTCAGCCTCCCGAGTGCTGGGATTACAGGCGTGCACCACCATGCCCGGCAGCTCACTCTTAAGAGATCAAGGAAGATGAAGGGCTCACCTAGCAGTTGGGTGGAGCCAGAGAGGATGCACCCCAGGCTTGAAGGAACTGAGAGAGCTGGTGGGCAAGGCAAGGACCAATGGGGCTGCTGTGCCCCTGGCTGAGACAGCAGGGCTTTGTGCTCTGAACCCAGGATGTAGGAAGCGGGTGGACTGCGCTGCTCATGCAGGATTGGAATTTGGCAGAAGTGTGGGGCTCTGGAGAGTCCTGGGAGCTGAGATAAAGAACTAGTTTAGATAAGTATAACTGTGGTCAAGGCATGTATGGTAACGCAGTGTGTAATCCCAGCACTCTAAGAGGCTGAGGCAGGAGGATCACCTCGAGTACAGGGCCAGCCTGAATTATGCAGTGAGACTATCTCATTCATAAATAAATAAATAAAATTTTAAAAACATTAAAAGGGGGTAGGGTTATAGCTCAGTGCAAGGGCTCAGGGTTCACTCCCCAGCACCACAGACAACAAAATAAAAAGCATGGTCAGCACAGAAGAGTTCCATCCTGGGGAGAAGGCTGAGTGAGAGTGTGCAGTTCCGGGAGGGGCCTGAGCTGAGCTCAGAAGCACTGGGAGGCTCTGACAGTTGGGGTGAGGGTGGGAGTGGAGCTCCTAGGAGTTCGTGTCAGAAGCTTTGGTCCTGCTGCACGAATAGCCTTTCTGGGTGTCCTCACAGTAGTAATGGCTGCTTGGATGTGGAAATGGCCAGACAGCAAGAAAGACCTAGGTGAAGAAACTCTGGATGGGGGTTCTGTCTACCAGGCGGCCTTTTAAAGTTTTTTTTTTTTTTTTTAAATTTTGTTTATTTGAGGTTTAGACATAGTGTTATGGGTACATATTACCTAGTTTTTGGCTCAGATCTGGTTCTGGATTCTTCTTTGTCTCAGTCTGCACACCCAGGCACCAGCAGTTTGTGTCCTCTCAAACACATTTGAATCTGTCTCCTTTCCCACTCCCTATCCTAGTCTACCTCTCAGCTGTCCCTGGACTCCCTTGCTTCCTCTTTAGCCTTATACAACCCATGACCCCCACCCTCCCAGCACTGGCTGAAGAGTCCCTCAGTGCCCTCTGGCTCAGAGCATAAAACATGAGCTACTTCCTCTAACGTACAGAGCTCTGCTCAAACTTCCCAGCTAATCTTCCTCTGTTTCCTCTTTGGCCTGTGAAGGTCTAGCATGCAGCTGTGCTTAGGGGAAGCACGCACTCTGACCTCTGCCTGTGATACTCTTGTCCTGCCCTTAGCTCAGCGTCGCACACTCCTCCTCGGGCAGCCGTCTTGGCCCCTTGGCACTCTGACATTTCCCTTGCCTGTCCTTGTCTCCCTTGGTGGCACGGAGTTGCTCTAAGAGGAAGGACCTCACTTGTCCTTATGGCTGATTGGGAAGGAATGACTAAAGGACTGGAACGGAGAGGACGGCACTGGTTGCATCTGACACAGGATACGTATTTGAGGTGCCTCATGTCTGAGTCTAAGGCTTAGAGGAGGTCTGCACCGAGAGTCTTGTGAGGGTAACACCGTTCTGCTTTCTGAAGGAAGAGGGTGAGGTCTCCGACTTGGGGGTAGATCCAAGAGTAAAGGGCTCCTCCTGCATCACCCCTGGAAGGAGCAGGAGGGCTGGATCCTTGGCCCCAGAGATTCCGTAGTGAGCCTGGATGTTTGCCCTTAATGTGGACCCATTTCCATCCTCTCCAGGTTTACCAAGATTCAAAACACAAAGCTGACCATGAAGCGGGACGGCATCGGGTCAGTGCGGTACCAGGTCCTGGAGGTGTCTCGGCAACCACTCTTCACCAACATCACGGTGGACATTGGGCGGCCGCCCTCCTGGCCCCCCAGGGGCTGACGCTGCCCGACCAAGGTGCTTGGTGCCAAGGATTGCCCACCAGAGGACTGACTGACTGACAGCGTGGCTGGCGCTGCTCTGGTGGGGGGACCCCAAACTGAGACTGTGGGCTGTTTTCTGAGGGTCTTCAGTAGACCTGCCAGCTGCACCTAGAAGTTTCAGAACCCACTTTGAGGGGCTTGTGGCCTGGGCAAGCCCCTCAAGTGTGGCCCTTTCTGGGGTCAGCCCTTCTTCCTGCCCTAATTCCCCCAGCCTAGCCCCCTCACTGTCAGGGTCGGGCCAGCCCCTGCACTGCCTCGCCGAGTGGCTTGGACTAGGTCACTCCACCTCTCTGTGCCTCAGTTTCCCCCCTTGAGTCCCCTAGGGCCTGGAAGGGTGGGAGGTATGACCAGGGGGCAATGTCTCTTCCAGGGGGAATTCTCAGACCTGGGAATCCCCCATGCTCCCAGGGGAGGGGAAACCTTTTTCATTCCGCATTGTAGGGGGCACACTTTGGTGCGGCCCCTGCTGAGGAGCAGCCCCAGAAGGGGAGCAGAGCGGGTGCTGTTGCTGCCTGGGATCTTGGGGTTGGCCTTTGCATGGGGGCGGGGGGCTTGGATCAGTCTATCTGAGTCCCACCTCCCTGCCTCAGAGAGGAGGCAGGAGCCCCAGGGCCGGCTCATGTTTGTACGTTGCACAGAAACTCGTGTGGGTGCTTTAGTAAAAAACGTGAATGGAGCAGCTCCCTTTGTGTGTCTGGGGAGTGAGGATGGGGTGCCTGAACCTGGCCATCCGGGTTTCTCCAGGCGCTGGGGTACCCTAGAGGGAAAGTTAACTGTACTTTGCTGCCCCCTGGGGGGGCAGTGGAGACAACCAAGTAATAAACCCAGTGGGACCAGATTTCTCGGTTCTTCCACCTGCCTTCAGGCCGGAAGGTGTGCAGGTGTGAACTCAGGGTGCTTGGGAACGACGGCTGCTGCGGGGGGGGGGCACCCACTCCGAAACATCACGGCTCGGGGACTACAGCCGCTGGCTCGGCAGGGCGGGGCGGGGCGCGGTCTCCCGGGTGACCGGCGCGGCGCGGAGGAGGGGCTGGGCCGGTTCCGCTGCCTGGCTCCCCGGCCATGGCCCGGAGCGGCCCCCGAGCGTCTGCCGGAAGCCGGGCGGAAGAGAGGGCGCTGGAGGCCGTCGGCGCTGACCTGAGTAATTCCAGCCGTGGGCACCGCGGAGCTGGGGGCGGGCGGCGGGGCGGACCCTCGCCCTGACCCGCTGTCCCGTAGGCCTCAGCGGGGGAGCACGGAGCGCTCGAGCGGAGCCCCGGGACTCCCCGTCGCTGTGGGAGACGGTGGAGGAGCAAGTTCCGCCCCCAGAGCGGCCTGAAGTGAAGAGGATTCTGGGGGAGGCAGCGGTGGACCTGAGCCTGGAGCTGCGGGCGGAGGTGGGGAATGGGGAGCCCGGGCCGGCCCCGAGACTCCCGGGATTCCCCAGGTCCCTGGCCCTGCTGCGTGACTCTCGGGAACTTGGGTCTCACTGTCTTCGTGCCCTCTCCTGTTTGGTTCCGTCCTGTCCCATCACTCCGTCCTCTCCCTGCTCAGGCGCAAGGTGCTCCAGCTCTGCCTTGCAGGTGGCGATGCTACGGGCCCTGCTTGGAGAGGCCCGGTCCGCCCGAGCCCGCAGCTCCCACTCCTCCTCTGATCCTTCCTCCCTTCTGGCACCACCGCCCCACCTGAGGGACCTTATGCGCCAGGAACTCCGGCAGCTGCTCCAAGGTCTCCGCCAAAAGGCCATCCGCGAGGGAAGGTGGGAACCTCAGCCTGGGTCCTCAACCCGGACATCACATGGGCTAGTCCTGTCCCCCTCGAGGAGCCAGGAGTCCTGAGGTTTCTTGACAGGAGCCCCCGCGTCTTTCACGTGCACCTTCTGCAGGGACCAGGCCCAGGCATGGGCCTGTTGTAGCCCCAGGGTCCTTCACTTTGCCTTGGAGGAGTCCAGGCGGAACTTGCCAGAGCAGATGTTCCAGAGGAGAGCTGGTGAACCCAGGTGAAGTGGGGGTAGAGGAGAAGGGCTCTATCTCTGCTTCGACCTAGCCAACTGGTGGGTTCCACCTGTTTGCACGGAGGGAGATAATTGTTTTTGAGTCAAGCTCTTCCTATGTCATTCAGGTTGGCCTTGAACTCACTATGTAACCTCGGCTGGCTTCAAACTTGCAGTGCTCCTCCTGCCTCAGCCTCCCAGAATGCTGGGATTACAGGTGTGGCCAAAATACTTGGCCTGGGACACTTATTATAGGGATTTTAACATGAAGGCTGCAGAATCCCCCAGGGAGACAGACGGTGCCCAGCCTGGAGGCAGCCAGGCTTACTGGAGTGGTTTAAAATGGGACTTGAAATATGACTAGCAGTTTTTCAGGCAGATGAAGGAGTGAGGAGTTTTTCGGGAAGAGGAGGACAGAAGGTGCATCCGGTGGGCAGTTGTTCCTCAGGCCTGGGGAACAGAGGCGAGGGTGGGGCTGGAGGGCAGGGCGAGCTGAGGGGAGAGGGCAGCAGACAGTGTTTGCTGCTAGGAGCTGAATGAGAAACACCCAAGGGCGTGTTTACGAGAAGTGGATGTCAGCAGCGTCTTCCAGTCTCCGTACAACTCAGTAAAGATGGGTGACCCCCACTTTGTAGATGGGAAAAAGATGAAGCTCAGAGAGAGAAAGCAGCTTGCCCAAGGTCGCCCTCAGCGAAGGGCAGCAAGGCCCATTCGCAAGCCAGAACTCCCACTGTTGGCACTGTGTTATGTTGCCTGTGGGAAAAGACACAAAATTACCAAGAAGTGACATCTGTGTCCTGAGGGCTGGCGTGAGCAATGTGGGGAGAGTGATGTTGATTTCATCTGCCAGCAGCAGTCACAGGGACCTCAGTGTCATCAAGGACCAACTGCGTGTGTCCCACATTGACCAAGTTGCGGGACACCTGAGGTGAGGCCCAGGGGCACCTGAGTGTGTGCCGACGGGGGAGAGGGCGTGCTGGGCTGGATGCTGGGCTGCTGGCACTGACTGGGAAGGGAGGAAACCTGTTGGGGAGGCGGGCTGCGTGTGGAAGGCAGGTTGCTGCAGCACCAGGGGCTGCTGCCAGGACAGGGTCAAATAAGGGCGTGGGTTGTCAGGGCCCTAGGGTTTTTTCTCTTTACCTTTCTGGGGATTGAACCCAGAACCTTTGTGCTGGGCTATATTCCTGGCCATTTTTGTGTTTTATTTTAAGACGGGGTATCACTGAGTTGCCCAGATGACTTAGAACTTACAATCGAGTTTGGCTTCCCAGAGTGCTAGGGCTGCAGGCCTGTGGTACCACACCCAGCTTGCGCCATAGGGTTTTTCACCTGATGCTGGGGCGAGCCACAGGAAGCAGGGGAAGGGCTGTGACAGGGCAGGAGTCACAGGCCCGCTGCAGTAGTGCAGAGGAGAGGATGGTGTCTGCTGGGGTGGAGCTGTCAGGTGGGCAAGAAGATATATTCTGCCCAGAAGGAGACTGGCATGGGCCCGAAGTCTAAGCTGGGGCAGCAGCCAGGCAGCAGAGGGCAAGGCCAGCTGAGAAACGAGGAGTTGAAGGAAGCCTGGTAAGGCTGCAGGTTGAGGCCCAGCGATAGGTTCTGACTGGGGCCTGTGTCTGTGGTTTTGGGCTTTCTTGTACCCCAGGGGCCTCCTGGAAGAGGAATGTCACACCTTGGAGAGGGAGATCTCCACCCTGCAAGTGAGTGCAGCCCTGGGCTCTCCAGACCATGCACAAGTGTGCGTCTGAGTACGTATGTGTATGTCAAGGTTGTGAGAGTCCTGTGTTCCCTTCTCACGTGCACACGCCTGTGTAGTGTGTAAGCCCAGGCCCAGCTGTTTTAGATTAACTTGCTGTATTGCCCCAGGTCCTTTACTTTCTTCCCTTACCTGACTCCAGGTGCAAGGCCAACAGCATTGCCAATCTTGGTGTTCAGCTAGACTGGTGTTCTCTCTGGGGCTTGCCCTCCTGGCAGCTGGGCTCAGGGGTTGCTCAGACTTGTTGCTGGGCCCTGCGCTAGGGATCTGGGTCTCTGCATCCAGGCTGGGCCACTGGGCCACTGACCCACCTCTCCCTGCAGCGCTGCCTGGAAGTGGAGCACACTCAGGCTCGTCAGTCTTCCAAGGCAGCCCTCGAGCCCACCATGGCAGGTGAGGACCCTAAGCGGGCCCCAGAGAACCTGGCTCCTGCCCGCAGCCTACAGTGGACACATGCTGGGAGAGCCAGGCACTGTCTCAGCTGTGTCCTCCCTCAGAGCTAAAGGAACAGAAGAAGGCCATGGAACAGGAGCTACAGGCCCCTCTGGGACCTTCCTGTGTCTCCAGCAAACAGAGGTAGAGCAAAGCAGGCAGCCAGCAGTTAGGGTAAGCTGAAGGGTCCGGCATGGCCCCCTCACAGTTACTTCTTCCCATCCAGGCAACAGCCCATGGGCTCTTCCATTCAGGGCCTTAGACCCTTTCACTGCCTCCGGGCTGCTGGAACTTGGGCCAGGCCTCCCCAAGGATACCTGCCTACGCCTCCTTTGGAGAAGTGCCCCCAGCCTAGAGGCCGGGCCACCACCCACTGCTGGGGACGGCAGCTTCGGTGCAGCCCCACAGAAGGGCCAGCTCCCACAGCAGCGTCCAGTGCTGCGCGCCAGGCCTCAACCTGAAGTAGGCTTCTGCTGGAAGGCGCCTTATCTGCTGCTGCCACCTCTCAGCTGCCATGGCCCTGCCAACTTCAGGTCTAGTCTTGTGTGAGCTCTCACCAGAACCTGAAGGCTGTTTGGATGCCTGGCCCTTGCCCCACCCCCTTGCCAATCCTGGTATCTAGGGCTGAGTGGCCAGATATCTGTCAAAGCCTTCAGCTTTTCTCCTCCCAGGCCACTACAAAGGCTTGGCCGACAGAGGTCCCATCCCAGCTCTGACTTTTGTCCCCCAGGGGACCCAGACAAAGCACAGCAGCAGCTCAGACAGGAATAGAAATTTCATTAAAATCTATGGACTTTAAAATCCTAGTGGTGCATGGATGGGCAGGGCGGGTGGTGCACCGTTATTGCTACAGAGGATTAGAGGCAGCTTGGCCGGTGCTGTCACTGCACAGAGCACAGAGGACGGACAAACAGACACTACAGGGCTTGGGAGATGGAGCTCTGGCCCTGGAGAGGGACTGGGTCACAAGGCCCAGGGCCGTTTGGCACGTGAACCGGGGCAGCACGTCTGGGAACACAGGGCCTTTAACCTGGTGCAGGGAGGGAAAGGGGGGTCGTGCAGGGTCCCTTTCCCAAGGGCTATGGGCTCAGACACCTTGCTGAGCAGCCTCCACCCCTGCCATCCAGAAACAGGTGCTTTGGGCAGGCTGCTGAGCCACAGCTTCCGCTGGCTGGGCCTGACAGCCAGGGTTGGAATGAGGGGCAGAGACCTTGGAGCAGCCAAGTGAGGTGCAGGCAGGCCTGGAAGACAGACTGGACCCGAGGATGGGGCAGGCGGGCAACCACAGATAGTACAATTTTTACAAAAATAATCACACAGATAAACAGGGCTTGGTGGGACAGCCTGACGAGTAACACTGGCCTCATCCCCAGCCCCTCACCCGGGCTCAGGGAGGAAGATCCAGATTTTCCTGGGCAGAGGCTGGGGTCTGTTCTGGGGTCAGGAACACTGGTCACGAGGCTGGAGGCCCATGGAGAGAACAGGTGGGGCCCAACCCAGAACCTCAATTCAGGGCAGAGTGCGAGGGTATCAGAGGCCAAGGGAAGCCTGATGACCTCTCAGGCCCCAGCCCAAGACCCCTCCAAAGTGCTTTGGCCCCCCAGTAACCTTCCACTGCCTCACCGCCCAGCTGCCATCTTGGCATCCACAGGACATGTAAACACTGGGGACACGAGCACAAATGACTGCACTAGCAGTGGTGGCCAGGGTGACAGCAGCCATCCTGGCTGGGGTGTGACAGAGGGCAGGCAGCCACCCTTGTCCACTGCCTCCCCAGTCTCTGGTGGGAGCATGGGGTGGGGGGCCACTCCCCTGGCAGCTGCGCTCATATCCGGGAGTCCTGGAGGCGGTTGGAGCCATTACTGCCCACCATGGGGATCTGGGCCTTGTCTGGGTGCAGTGGCTGGACTTCAAAGCCATCTTCAGGGGAAGGGGCTATGGTGGGGGCGTAGCGCCCAGTCTGGTGCTCCAAGAGGGCAGGGCCCCAGTCTCTGCTTGGCTTTGTGGCATTTTTCAAACGCTGCATGAGAGGTAGACATGGTGAGTCAGAAGGGAGCCCTGAAGTCCGTCCACCCCACCCCTCATTTTGCCTGGTCACCCAGGTGGCTCCCGGCCCTCACCTGCAGGAGGGTGTCCCCATCTGTGCGGCAGAGCTGGAACAGGGCATAGAGCGGGATGCAGATGACCGAAGACAAGGCCATGAGGAAGCCGACGGCCACGGCCCAGCCTGGGTACTGGTAGTGGTTGTAGGTGATTGGCCGGTACTGGATCACCGTGAAGATGAGGATGAACTGCAAGGGTGGGAGGAAGTGGGTGAGGCCAGCCCAGAGCCCTTCCCAGACCCCAGCTCTGCCCCTACCACCTCCCACTCCTCTCTAGGTTCCCAAGAGGCATTTTGGGTGGGGCATGGGGTGGTAGAAGAAGCAGGTGGAACCAGGAGTCCAAGGCATGGTGGGCAGGCACCATGGGAAGGGACAGGCATGCCTGCCATAGTCTGAACTGACCAGAGAACGACCTAGATGCTGCCGCCTTTGGAAGTCAGTCTGTCCCAGACTCAACTTGAATGGTGCCCTGCTGCCTGCTGAGGTAGAGCCAAATCCTCAGCCTTAGACCTTCGCAACATGGTCTCAGCATGCCCTGCCCACCATACTACCCCTGCCTCAATGTCTCAGTCACACCACCTCCTTCCCTGGGGAATCACCCTCTGCATCTCTGGCAAGTGGGTGGGCTCCTGCTTGCCCTCTGCTGTTTCCATGAGAAAAACACTGGGCTGGGGGCAGCAGGGCAGGGAGGGCCTTGGGAGAACTTACGAAGATGATGGCAGGAGAGACAAAACGCCAGCAGATCTGGAAGAAGAGGGGCGGGGGGAACCCCAGCATCATTTGGATGTCCTGGAAGTAGTTCCTGTGCCCTGGAGAGAACGGTGTCGTCAGGGCCAGCAGGGCAGAGTGCGCCAGCCCAGGACTGGGACCTGCAAGGCCATGGAGCGCAGGCACCTACCATAGATGTACATGATGGACACACACATGATGCAGGAGATGACGACCAGGGAGAAGCTGGCTGCGTAGTTGTCCATCAGCAGCAGCCAGTAGATGCCTGCCTGTGGGCCAGTGAGCAGCTGAGCCACGTGTGCAGGGCACAGGCTCCCACCCTTCCCTGCGGAGCCTGCAGCTGCAGCCCAGCCCTCCTCCCACTGGCTTCTCACCTGGCTGGTCAGGGGGATACCCAGCAGGAAGCCAGCCACAGCCACGGCCAAGGTCACATAGGTCTTTTTCTGCAGGATCCACTCATTCCCCACCTCATCCACAATGGCTGTGACCAGTGTCTCTAGGAGACAGAACTGCAAGGCCCAGCCATCAGGGCTGACGCCCGCCCTGGCCTGCCTCCCCCAGCTCCCCAAAGCTCCTCATACCTGAGTGCCCAGCCCCAGCAAGATGAGCATGAAGAAGAAGAGCAGGGACCACAGCGGGGAAATGGGCAGCAGTGTGAGGGCCTCCGGGTAAGCCACAAAGGCCAGGCCAGGGCCGTGGTCTGCCACGCGGGACACATCCACACCCAGATGTTTCGCCATGAAGCCGAGGATGGAGAAGATGACGAAGCCAGCATAGACGCTGGTGGCACAGTTGGTAATGCTGATGATGACACTGTCCCTGAAGGGGAGAAAAACAATGCTCAGGAGACTCCAGCTGCCTTCCTTCTCCCCAATTTGGGCCAAGAAAAAGACATGGAGATAAGGAAAGTTCTAGAGACAAAGGTGCCTCTAAATCCTTCTCAAGTGGGTCTGGGGCTCTCGAGTCCTCACAGACCCAGGGACTTCACTGTCCGCATCACTCCAATCTCTCCTCCAGGGCTTCTCTCCCCATTCTTATGCGTGGAAGAAGAGGGCCTCCTGCCCCAAAGGAGGGTGGGGGGAGCCAGGCTGGGCTGTGCAGAAGGCAGGGCGCGGGCAGGTGTGGGGCTGGCTGGGCCTTCTCACCGGTAACAGTTGTTGTGGAACTTGTTGTAGGATGCCATGGTGATGAGGCCGCCCCAGGCGCAGCCCAGCGAGTAGAAGATCTGGGAGGCAGCATCCCCCCACACCTGCAGGGAGGGCGGGCCCGTGAGGTGCTGTGGTGAGGGGCAGCTCTGCCGGGGCCCCTTAGGCCCCCTGCACATCCCACCTTGGCCTCCAGGATCTTGTCCCACTGCGGGGTCAGGTAGTACATGATGCCCGTGAAGGCTCCTTCCAGGGTCACTCCGCGGACGAACAGGATGGTCAGCACCACATAGGGGAACGTGGCCGTGAAGTACACCACCTGTGGCAGGATGGCTCCTTGGACGCCTGTGGCTGTCTCCCATCCCAGCACCACCCCCTGGCCCCAACCACCACCGGCCCCCTGGTCCCTTTTCCCCTCCCTTGGCCCTTTATCACTCTCAACATCCCCACAAGCCAGTCAGGAGGTAGGGTCTGAGGGTGGGGACAGACCCTGCCTGGGCAGGGGTACTTGCTTTCCCTGAAGACTTGACCCCTCGGATGAGGCAGAGGAAGACGACCACCCAGGAGACACCAAGGCAGCCGAGGAGGGGCAGCCGCACTTCCCCGAAGTTCCCGATGTCGTCTGACAGCTTCAGCACATAGAGCCTGGGGAAGGGGCAGTGTCATAGAGGGCAGGACTGCACTGTCCGGAAACCAAGCCCAGGGCCCGCTGACCACGCCCTCCTGTTGTAAGGGCCCAGTAGCAGCTCCTGTGAGATGGGAACCACTTTGGGGGCCCCAGCTGTGCCAGCCACTCATCCTGTAGCCTCTCCTGGGAGCCACAGCGGCCACCAGGCCTGGGCCAGTCTTCTCTCGCAGAGTATATAGGTCTGCAGCCCTGGGGGGCACACTTGTCAGCCCCTCAGAAGCCGTCTCTCCGTGGAAGTTTTCTGAGAGCATTCCACCCACACCAGTTGGCTCCATCTGTGGGAACGGAGGCGACTCTGAGTGCCTCCCCAGGTGTGGCCCCATCTGGCAGCCCCTGGTCCACCAGCTGTGCTCTCTTGACCAACTGGACATTTATGTGCCAGGCACTGGGTAGGAGCTGAGCACCCAGAGCTGCAGAAGGCATCTTCCCAGCATTGAGGGAGGAAGGTGGAGGAAAGCAGGCAGGACTGCTCTGGTGGCGGATGCAGAGGGCAAAGTGCAGCAGGCACCTGAGTGACATCTCTCTCAGGGGAAGAAGTCGGGTGGAGGGTTTCCCAGAAGAGGCAAGTGGAGCTACAGTGTAAGGAGAAGAGAGGGGAGGGGAGAGGGTGGGACGGGACAGGACAGGACAGGACTGGCAGGGCGTGCCAGGCTGAGGGAACAGTGTATGCCAAGTGGGAGATCCGGAGCTAGCATCCCAGCCTGGGCATGCTGGGCAGCTCAGTGAGGCTGGGAGGGAACAGGATGGGAAGAGAGAAAGGCAAGGGACAGGAAGGGACCAGATCATGAGGCAGTGTGAAATGAAGGCAGGGAATTTGGATTTGTCCTGAGGGCAGTGGGTGGCTCTGGAGGGATTTTCTGAGCACACTCTGATGGCCTCTCCTTGGCTGCTAGCCTTGCAGGGCTCCCATCTCCTACTGTAGGAAAGATAAAGGCCTCACTGGCTGCGGGCCCTGCAGGACGCACTGGCCTGCCCTGCCTTCTCCGATCACCTCTCCTCTTGCTCTCGTCCTGCCCACTGCCCTGCTGCACCGGCCCCCTGTTCCTTAAACAGGCCAGGTGTGTCCCCTACACACCTCAGGCCTTTGCACATGCTGGTGCCTGTCTGCAGTGCTCTTCCTGAGATGCCCACATGCGCACGTGGGTGTGTGACCTGTGCAGTCACACAGGGCCTTGGGCTTAGAGGGCCTGGGGCTTGTTTTAATTCCATCTTGATGGTCCTAACACATCTGAACAGGTGTCTCATATTTTCAATTTTTACTGGGCCCTACACTTTCCTCAGCTGGGCTCCGTCCCCACCCCCGACCGGCAGGTCTTCACTCAAGTGTCCTCCTCCCCCAGGGTCCTCTCTCAGCACCACACTTCCAACAGCAGCTGCCCCCGCCCGGCACCTCACACAGCCCTCTGCTGTGTCTTCCTCCACGGCACACCATCCTGCTGTCACACTGTATACTTTACTGTTTGTTTTTGGTCATCTGTCTCCTATGGGGCAGCAGTTTGTCCAGTTTGTTCACTGCTGTGGTCCCAGTGCCTGGCCCAAAATGTGCCCGGTAGAAATAATGAGCAATGTGGCGAGGGACTCGGGGAGTCTGGCTGGTGACCAGTGTGGCTGGTGCAGTTATCCAGGCTGCCAGTGAGGAGCCAGGGAAACACTCTTGAGCCTTAGTCTCCTCATCTGTAAAATGGGAATGCTATCACTAGCCTGAGAATAATTGGTAGATAAATGTAAATTAAATACAGGTTTCCCTCTTTCCCTCTAAACAGCAGGACCTCTCAGAGTGGCCCATTCATGGGCTGTCCTCCAGCTTTCTTGGCTATATTCTTACCCATACATCAATTCTCAAACCTCCAAAAAACAGCTCAGGTATATTGGGATGGGAGGTCACTGGGTGCTCACTCATGGGATGTTGCTGCCAGGGCTGGCACTTGGTATTGCTCAGGCCACCTGCCTCCCTGGCCTCCCATCTTCCTCTTGGGCCACAGTGACAGCATGAGCTGCCCACGCTGTCCCCTCTTGCCCAACTTCCCAGACTGCAGGGAGCAGCGCAGGCCTGACAGTGTTCTCCAGGCTCTCAGAGGACAGGGGACACAGACACAGAGAGGACAGAATTCAAGAGCAGAGGAGAGCTGAGGCTCCTGGTGTCTTTTTTTTTTTTTGGTTTTGTTTTTTTTCCGATACTGGGAATCGAACTCATGACCTTGTGCTTGCCAGGCAGGCCCTGTGCCGCTGAGCTAAATCCCCAGCACCTGCTCCTGGTGTCTTTAGCAGTGCATGCCTGTCTTTTGTCCTTTATGGCACGCACAGAAAAATATATCTACAGGCAGCTGGGCTGGGGGCTCCAGGCAGCCAGGCCCTGCCTACCTGGGGGCTCCTATCTGGGTACATCAGTGCTGGGAAGCTCTGCCCTTCAGAACAGCCACAGGGTCCTACTACTGTTACTGCCGAAATGTGCTTTCCCTCAGGGCCAGCGTTCAAGTGAAGAAGCCATGTCTTGTTTAAAGGATTTTTTTTGTTTTGTTTTTTGTTTAAAGGATTTTTATAACTAATTATGCATGCTAAACTGGTAGTAGTATTTAGAGTTATTTTTTATTGCAAGAGCAGCATAGCATTAAAGTACTAGGAATTAAAGAGTTTAGAAGGCTAGCTGGCCTGAAAACTAAAGAATGAATTCTAGCTTTTTAAAGATGGCACCATATTTAGGTTTTTGTTTTATTTTGGACCATGTGCTTTGGAGATCAAACAATTAACCTAAGAACTTTGGAACCCAACATATTTACAAGTTGGCTTTTGATACCTGACCTGTCTGGAATTCTGCCTTGCTTTCTGTCTGTCTGTGTGTCTGTCTATCATCTATCTATCTATCTGTCTGTCTATCTATACTCTATCTCTTCAATCAGACAGCCAATTATTCCAGACTGGGATGCCCTACTGTATTTCTTTGCAAGTCCGGCGGTGGCTGCGATCTGCCCACGCAGCACCTGGCGCTGTGCCTGGTGATTTGTGCAGCATCCTCTCATTTCACCTGTATAACAATGAAGTGGGAATCGTAACTGTTCTGATTAGGGACAAAAAACTGAGACTTTAGAGAGGTTTGGTGGCCTGCCAGGGCCACACAGAGGGTAAGTGGCACAGCCAGGATTTAAGAGGCATCAGCGACTCCAGAGCTGCCAGGAGACACTGGAGTGGGGGGCAGGGACTGGAGTCCACTGAGCGTCAGGTGCTGCGTGCCACAGAGGCTGTGCAGCTGGGATGGCCTGGTCATGAGTTTGGGGCCTGGTAGCGGGACTCAGACCAGCACAGACAGCTGTGAAGCAAGACCGAGAGCGGGTATCAAGGGAGAGGAGGGCCGGGGGTGAAAAAGAAGGGTGAGCAAGGGGACGGTGTGGCCCAGAAACCTGCTCTTGGGCTTCTCTCACTTCAGAGGCATCTCTTCCTCTCTTTAGCCTGCTTTCCTCATTCATAAAACAATAACTTTAAAATCATATCTGCATAGGCTACACAACAGGGTTGTTGTGGAGCTCAAACAGCATCACACCACCCGGGCATGGTGACACCTGTGATCCTAGCTCTGGGAGGCTGAGGCAAGAGTATCGCAAGTTTGAGTCCCGCCACTTAGAGATCCTATCTCAAAATAAAACACATAAAGGGCTAGGGATGTAGCTTATTGTGAATGGCCTGGGTTCAACCCCCAGTACTTCATTAATCAGTCAATTAGTTTTAAATGACATGTCACCACTCGTTAGAGGGTGCTGGACAGCGGACTAAGTACATTCCTATAGGTCTAGGCACCAGTGGAGCCTGATGAGCCCGGTGCATACAGAGCTTGGTACATACAGAGCCTGGCATGGCCCCTGCTGCCCAGATTAACCTTTGAATTTCAGTTTTTAAATCTGAAAATAGAGATAATGATATCTACTGAGATAATAGTAGGTGCTCAAGAAATGGGGGCATGCTAGGTCGCCCTCCTTGCTTACTGAAGCCAGCCCCAACAGCTCTCTTACGGGTCACTTCCAAAATTTTCCAGGAGGGGGCAGCAGGGAGCCGTACTGTCCGGAAACAGGCAGGTCTGGGACAGCGTTCTTTAGGCAGGCACGGCACTGTCCCAGGTGGGGAGCAGAGCTCAGCTAGCCCTCCAGCTGGACCTCTCTGCATTCTGTTCCCGTTGATTTTACCAGACAAAATTTCCAGAGCTCTGTCCCAGGTGGTCCAGCCACGCTGGGAGTCCCTGGTAGACAGCTCCTGGGACAGGTACCCCTGGAGCATCCGGTGGGGGGCAGTAGTGTGGGCGTGTCTTGGTGCTTGGGTGCTTCCTGCAAGGTCCATCATCCTTAGTTTAGATCACACTGCCCATCTGCACTGTGTGTCCAGGGGAGTAAGACACCTCACTGGGGGATTACGTGCTTGGTTCTCCCACTGGATGAGAGCTCCAGGAAGGCTGCGGCTGTGTGTGTCCTCCTCCCTGCTCTCTCCTCTCTGCAGTGGTCTGTCCTGTGATGGAGTGAGCCTGCCTCTCCCTCATTGCGAGGCAGCAGCTGGGAGTCCCGAGGGCAGTGACCACAGCTTACCTGACTCTGACAGTCCATAGCCCACCCAGAGGCTGCCCCACGGAAGCTGGTCCTTGCAGGGCTGAGCACTCAGAGGACCTGCCGTGACGCCAGTTTCCACGGAGAAGCAGACCCCTCTCTATGGCTGTCCACCACACATCTGAGAAAGCCTCCAACCCTCACCCTGGCGTGGAAGCCTGGACCATATGATGCCTGATGGCCTCTTGTCTTGTTAGTGTCCCCTGTCCCCAACCCCAGCTTCAGTTTGCTTCCTCCTGGCCTCTGCTCACCTGCTCCGGTCTCTCCCAACCCCTCTGTTGCCTTCTTTCCCCTTTATGGGTAGCCCCGACCACTTCCTCTTGCCCACCCCTGGGTCTAACCACTACCCCGTCAGTGCCCCATCGTGGCCTGCACATGTCTGTACTAAGGCACCTGCCCCTAATAGATGAGCTGCCTGTCTCCCCACTGGACTGTGAAGCCCTCAGGGCAGGGGCCTGACCGCTCACACCAGCCTGGGCTACAAGCTGTGCTGGAGCAGCTGCCAAGAACGTTCGCAGAATGCACGAAGGAGGCCTCCTCCCCTCCCCCACGGCCCTGGGCCTGGGGCTCCCAACAGGACCTGAGGAATTCCCTCCAGGATGCCCTGCTGTGTCCTCTACCCACCCACTGGGGCAGAGGGTTCCAGAGCACCTCCAGCAGCAGCTTCTCTTCAGCTGGCCCTGAGACATCAGTCTCTGTCACCGCTGAACATAGTGTGCCAGACAGCCTTGATCATGGCACCCTGGCTTAGTGAACTTCCATGGGTTCTTTTGCTCTGAAGCATTAAGTCTAACCCTAATTCTTTTACATTCTCTATGAAGGCAGTGACTGCTCTGAGGCCTCCTCCCGGCCCATGAGACGCCCCCCCCCGCCCACATCTGTTACACTCAGTAGTCAAGTAGGCTCCCTCAGCATTAGGATGAGCTTCTGCTCAGCTGGGACCCAAGGTCTTCTCACCAGCACGCACCCCTTTCGCCCTGACTCTCAGACTTGCCAGATTTCTGGAGCCCTCCCTCACTGCGACTCAGTTGAGACTCTCCACCTCTGTCTTCCAGGTCTCCATATGTCAGCCTCCTCTCCCATGACTCTTTATCTACCTCTGGCCCCCGACCTAGCCCGCACCTGTGTGCTTGATGGGCAGAAGGAAGGCTGAGGGTTACCAGCAGGCTCCCCCTGGCCTGGGTCCACCTGGGGCCTCACCTCCAGTACTCCTCGCTGGGGCTGGTCCTCTTCAGGGTGTGATTGAGCAGGTGGGAGAGGTTGCCAGACAGGGCATCGGGCCGGGAGACATTGGTGAGGTTGGAGGCGTCCAGCACCCCGGCACAGTCAGGTGTGTTCCAAGGGTTATTGCAGTAGGCCCAGGGCAGCACGGGCGTCATGGATGAGAAGAAGTAGTAGAAGGCGATGGAGATGACCACATTGTAATAGATGCCGATGTACGTCGACACCACCATCATGCCGTAGCCCACACCTGGGGAGGGGAAGGAAGGGGCTGCTGTCAGCTGCTGGGGAGAGCTTCACACATCTGGTAGAAGGAGGTGAGGTTAACAATTTCTAAGGCCCAAGGGGCAGGCTTTGATGGAAGGCCACATCGGGGACAGGTCAAGGCCTTGATAAGGGCAAGTGGGGGCCAAAGAAGTTTTGTGTACACACCTGGCAGGGAGGGAGGGTGCAGGCCAAGTAAACATGGATCCCAGCATGGGTCCATGGCCTTGGCCATTGATGTGGGGCTTAGGGTCAGCACCCAGGCTCCACGGGGGATGACAGTGTTTGTACAGATGTGTGGGTCGGCATGGCCTCTAGAGGCCCGTGTGTGTGTGTGTGTGTGTGTGTGTGTGTGCGCGCGCGCGCGAGCGAGTGCTCCTCCTAAGCTCACCTTTGAACATGGGACTGATCTTCCAGACCCCCAGGCAGCCCTGGCTTGCAAACTGGCCAAAGGAGAGCTCCATGAAGAAGAGTGGGATCCCGCAGAATATCAGCATGATAAAGTAGGGGAACATGAAGGCTCCTGGTGAGGGAGAGGCCGAGCTCAGGACAGGCATGGGGAATCCCGCCCTGGGCTCCTGCTCAGAATCCAAGGGCAACACTTCTGTGACTGGGTTGGACTGGAAGGGGGCCGTGCCAGCGTTGAGTAGAGCCTGGGTCTGAGGCACACAACCCTTAATCTGTCTTTGAACTTGACAGAGGTCCTCAGGAAGTCCGCTCTGAGCCAAGTCCAGCCCCAGAGCTGTCACAAGGGGGCGAGATTTGATGATTTAACCGACTGATTTCACAAATATAAATCACTGGGCTCATGAAATGTCTCTGAACCATTTTGGTGGGAGGCTGTTACAATATGGGGAGATAACACAAGGGAGTGCTGGGAAGCTGGGGTGCTCTTCTCCATTTCTCCTCACACCGAGGAAGCAGGCTGGCAGGGACAGGCCCAAACAGCAGGCTGCCAGGGTGGGAGGGACGTCGGTCTGCACCTTGGGCAAAGGTGCCTGTGCCAGTGATGGGGGCCAGGGCCAGAGGCCAGCCTCTGTCTGCAACAGGGTCTGTGCCAGGGAAAGGGTGGCCAGGGCCCTGATGGGTGGGCTCTACTCAAGTGGGTGGTCCCTGCCCTGTGCCCGCTGGGTACCTCCCCCGTTGCGATAGCAGAGGTATGGAAAGCGCCAGACATTGCCCAGGCCTACGGCATAGCCCACGCTCGTCAGTACAAACTCGATCTGGTTGCCCCAGTTGCCCCGTGTGAGTTTCTGGTCCCTCTTGGTGGCCTCGCTGGGCACAGCACCATTCTGTAGGGACAGGAGAGAAGCTACCATCAGCAAGGCATTAGTGTTCAGTGCTGGACCCTTTGAGCCTCCCCAGCAGGGACACCATGGACCCTCCAAGCCCCCCTCCGAGGGCTTGCCCTCTGCTGGCAGGAGCTGCAGACAGGCCTGGCAGAAGAGGGGAGAAGGGAGGAGCAGCTGCCAGAGGGTGCCAAGCAGAGCCTCCTGCACTGGCCCCCAGCATGCTGTGCCAGGTGCACCAGCCCACCTGAGGAGCTGCTGCCAACATCTGGAGGTGGAACACTGCAGAGGGAGCTTGAGTGGAAAGCCCCCAGCTCCTCTAAAGTCTCCCCTCTCCCCTCAGGGTAAGGATCTGGGAGCAGCTGAGGCTCATACCAAGCAGCCAAGTCAGGCTGGGCACAAAGGGGCCTGTGTCCAGACAGCCCCCCCACCCGCTGCCTACCACATCGCCAGGCTGAGCACGCTGCCCATGGGCAAGCAGTGGCTAGACCCTTCCTCCAGCTGAAGGCTTCTTCCTGGGGCACAGGGTGGGCAGCGCTGGGGGGACGGGGTGGGTGAGCAGCTGAGCCGGGCCAGACCTAGGGAGGGCATTGTGGGACTCAGGAGGGGAGCCCAGTGGAACCTCTGTATTGCCCATTACTGGGCAGGGGCCCTGGAGAAGCTGACTTGGGGTGCTGGGCCACGACTTGGTGGAAGAGGCCAGAGATGTAGGCACCATGCTAGACTATGAGGACAAACCCTGCTGAGGAAACAGAGGGAATAGCTCCAGAGAAGGGTGGCAGGGAGAAGGGTCTCTGAATGGTGAGAGGGATCAAGATGTTTGCAGAAGGCAGAGTCCAAAGGCTGAAGGTGAAGGTCACCAGGGCCGATGAGGGGCTGTGCCCCAGGGTCTCGCTGAGGACAGCCCCATGTGGAGCTCCAACTTCAGAGTTTGTCCTGGTTCTGCAGGTCCCTTAAGAAGTGTGAATGTGCCCTCTCTTGGGGCCACACTCAAAGAAACAAGAAACCCTAAGCCAGAGCCTGAGGGACCCAGGAATTTTACTAAGGAGACAGGGTAACTGAGGGCCACCAGCACAGAAATGTACATAGAAAGCACCTGAGTGCCAGAAGTAGCCTCCCAGAGATGGGCTGTGCCCTAAGAGGACAGGGACAGGAGGGACAGGAGGGACAGGAGGTCCAGGAGGACACTGGACCAGGGATACAGCGGCACAGCCTCTGACCGGCAACAGCACACCCTCAGTGTGAAAGTGACACCTGCAAGGACAGCAGTGGCCTGACCAATAAGCCAAGGGGTCTGGTGCTGTGAAATGCTGCCAGACTGCAACACTGACAAACATGACTGGCCTCACTGGCCTCTAGCATCTTCTGGAAAGGTCCATTTGGGAGCGGACCCCCCCCAGTGGCTGGCAGATGGGTGCTGCAGCACAGACACCTTTGGGGGGACCATCCTGTGCACCCGATCCAGCACTTCCTGGCAGACCGGCTACCGTGTTGTCTGCACAGCACCCAGAGCAAAATGGCGCGCTGCAGATGTCTGCATTCATTCACTCACAATTCATTCATGCAGTATCAGAGATTTACAGACCCCTACTATGTGCCAGGCAACAAAGCAGAGGGCCCCTAACCACTAGGAGCTAGAAGTCTAGTGGCAGAGAAAGCCATCAGTAAAGAAAACACAAATAATTTCATATGCAACCATAAGAGGATTTCCTCAAGGTCACGAGAGTATGGATGGAGGATGGAGAGGGAGGTCAGGGCGAGGTGAAGAAGGCCTCCCTGGTGAAGAAAGTGGGAGGCACCTATGGTGCCGTGGCTCTGAGAGGCCTCTGTGACACGCACGCCACTGCAGAATCTTGCCTGAGCATGCTGCTGCCCCCAGGACCTTCCTTGGGTTGGGTGTAGCAATACCACAGGGCCAGGGGACTATTTTCCAGAGGACGTGAGGCCTGCTTGGGGTGGTTTATCCATTTCCAAACAAGTATCAGCCACATAGGGCTCCTACATGTTGGCCCGACAATAACACTTCTATTCTGTCCCTGGCTTGTTTACTTAGGGGCACAATGCTGGATTGTAGCAGCTCTAGAGTCCATGGGTGGGGTCACAGGGCAGTGGCTACAGCTGTAAAAGGGACAGCAGAGGGTCTAGGATGACTCCATGGTCACAGTGAGGGCAAGGCCCCTGGAAGAAACCCAGCTGCCCAAAGCTTAACATGCAAGGCCTCTCTCCTGGCCCAGCTGCAGGAGGGACAGACCTTGGGCCCACCAACCAAGTGCAGAAGGACCAGTCTTGGGTCTTTGAGGTTCACTCTTCCTAGTATGGAGGGGAGAAGAGGGTGGTGATTCCCCAAGCCACGTGCCACTGGCAGTCACCTGTCTGCGTCCCTTAGAGCCAGCCGCCGTCCTGCTGATGAGCAGCATACCACTGAGCTGTGTGCCGAGTGGTTCAGCTGCACACAGTGCAAGGTGGATGGTGGGCACCCCAGGGTGAGAGCTGCAACGGGGGCGGGGGTGACTGCGCTGGCTCAGCAACCAGGCTGTGGCTGGAAATTCCTCATCGTACCAGAGGTCTGCTGAGGGCAGAGGGCTCCCTGCAGAAGCCAGGTCTGTCTTCTACCAGGCCCTGAATCTTTGTGCTGAGCTGCCCTGACTGTGGGAACCTTGGTCTGCCTTCCATTTTGGTGAGACTTACATTCAAGTGGCTCGGCCAGTGGTCTTAGCTTTCAGTGGAGGATAGAACAAGCCCATCTTTCTCTCAGCAAACTGGAAGGAAGAATCCCCAAAGTGCTTGTTTCTGCAGAGCTTTCTGCACTGTTTTTTTGAGACAAAGTCTTGCTGTGTAATTCAGGCTAGCCTCAAATGTGTGGCAATCCTCCTGCCTCAGCCTCCTGAGTGCTAGGATTACAGATGTGTGCCAGCATGCCTGACAGGGTGTTCTAATTATCTTCCTTGTCTAGCTCTCCTCTGGGGATATTTTCTTCCCTGCAGCTAAGCCTTCTTCAATGCTACATAGCTTTTTACCCTCCTTGTACCATCTTTCCTACTCTAGCACTCATCTTCCCCGATCTGTTGGGTAGACAGCTGTGTCACTGATATTAACTATCCCTGCAAGAGGCATCAGCTTTGAAAGGCCAACAAAAGAAACCCTTTGTGCTGAGCCCCAGGCTTCTCCTGTCCACTATGTCACCCTGTCTGTCCTTCTTGGCTTTCTGTCACTCACCTGCTCATACTTTGATGGGAATGAAACCATTATGGCTGATTCTCTCTGGGTTGACCTCCTCTCCCACTGGGTGTTTTGATTTCCTTGTCTGTGCCCCCCTCCCAGCTGTTCTGAGAGGCCACAGCTGGCACAAAGCAGCCTCCACTCAGAACTGCCATGGCCTGGTCGGTGGGATGGCTCTGCCCTGTACCGAAGCTCTCCCAGGCTGGGCAGCACAGAGGCTCTGCAGCTCCCCTTCCACAGCTGAGGAGAGCACCGCCCCACCCCCTCCCCCTTATTCCCTGATGCTCAGAACCAGCCATGGTGGCCTCAGCATCTACCCCTGCACCAGGACTGTGTTCTTTCTTGGGTTAACCAGCAACCTCCCCCACCTCTGGTCCCCTTTCAGCTGGCTGAACCACATTGAGCAGAGTCACTTACATAATTCCTTTACATAGCCCTCTGCCGGGCTTATTTGCTGCCCTGGATGAGCTCCTGGAATTAAAGCTGTTCAGCTTGGAACGCAGAATCTGAATCTCCCACTGCCTTGCCCTGGGCTTGGCTGAGGTGGGACAGACAGTGCAGAGGGTTAGAGCCAAGGCATCCCAGAGCCTGCTCCTCTAGTAGCCTGGGGTGAATCACTGCACTGTGGGCACCCTGGCATCAGTAGCTAGGAAACCAGGGCATAGATGAGGTGCCCGCCGCAGCCCGGCAGACGCAAAGGCCAGGCTGCCCTCCACATCTCCCAGTATCTTGCAGCTCCACCTCGCCTGCAATTCCCTATTTCAGACTTTGCCCTGTGTTTCCTGCTAGTTCTTACTACCTTTCTAGATCACTTCTAAAAACTTGCTTTTTTTCTAATTATAAAAGTATAACAAGCTTATCACAGAAAAGATTTGGGAAGTCCAGGAAAACATAAAGAGGGCTCCATGGTCGGGCCCAGAGGTAACGGCGACCAGCACGAGGGGGGCCTTTCTCTTCTCTCCATGCGCACGAATGCGGAGGCACAGCCTTCTACCCTGCCTGGGGACTCCTGCCCTCCTAGCTCAGCATACCGGGGATATTTTTGTGAATTGCAAACTGCTTCCTCTGCTCTCAGCAGACATGAGCAAGGAATCCTGGAGCTGCCCTGGCAGGGTGACCCCTCTGGGACTCAGCAGGCTTCTTGTTTGGGACTCTCTAGCCCCATCCCCTCATGGGATGAAACCTCATCCAAGACAAACTTCATGGAGGAGAATGGGCAAGACCTCACATCCCACACTGACTCTGAGCCAAATCAGATCACGGGCAACTTTCTCTGAGCTCCAGTGGGGACCTCAGGCAGAACAGCCACTGAAGCACATCCTGCTGCCACAGAAAACCCCACCACTAGCAGCCCTTTGGTTCTTGTTCCCCCAAGGTCTCTCTCTTTGGGCTATGGGCCAGGCTGGGCCTCAGGAAGCACCTGCATGACAATGAGAAAGCCCTCTCTCCTTCACCTGCACACACTGAGGGGACCAGAGAGACTCAGGCTCAGCCCGTTTCTGACCTCAGTCATCTGGACATGGGACAGAGTCAAGGGCTAGGGGTGGAGCAAATCTACCCCTGGTCTGTACAGCCCCAAGGACTGTAAGCATCCAAGGAAAAACTCAAAGGAACTCGGACCCGCTCCCAGGTGGCAGGCAGAATAGGCAAGGATGTGCCTTGCGCTGTTCTGTCACAGTGCCCTGATCGGCAGAGAGAGTGACCTGCCAATTTTGTGGGCGGCACACACAAGGCTGACACCCTAGGCACAGCAGGCTCCACTACAGGCCCCCGGAAGAGGGACGGAGGCTGCCGGGTGGGCCCTGCCCATGGCCTCACCTTCCTCCCTGCAGAAGCCCAACAGACTAAGAGATTGGAGGTGCAGCCCTGCCCTACACAGAGGCAGCTGTGGTTGGCAGCAAGTGGCACTGGCCCTAGCAGTCCTGACATTTGAGGGCAACCCTGCGTAATGCTTCTCCCAAACCCAGCCCGCATCACTTCGGAGGATATTCCCCTTCGCCTTCAGGGGGTTAAGCCAGGGCATCCTACAGGGCATGAGGGTGGCTTTCACAGCCCCTCACTCTCCCTGCCCATCCCCGACTTCCAGGATGAAGAGACTCGGCTCCTACCCACTGCGGCACTTGCCCTGGACACTGCGAACATCCCTGGGGTCTCTCTCCTCCCAGCAGACTCTTCCCCCACCCCACAGAGTCCATGTGCCACACTCCCTGCCCCGCACCCATCCTCCCCATAGGAGTAACTGCCGTGGCACAGACAATGAGGCTGTATTGATTAGTACAATTCCTGGGCACCTCCGGCCCGTCTCCCCGGGAGCTGGGACAATGCAGCTTTGATACTCAGAGCAGATTCTCAGCAGGTC